CTTGGTGCCTCAAGGAGGGACGCTGCTGCCCTAGAGGCTGGGATGCCCTTGGTGGTTGAGGTTCAGGCTTAAGGCTCTTTTTAGTTCTCATTTCACACTCGGCCATCCTTTCCCAAAGCATGGCTCCTGGGTCAGGGTGGCTGGGTTTGAAGGGGTGTCCAGTATCAGCCACATTCCACACTGGCCAGAACAGTGTTATCAGCTGAGATCCCCCTTAACTCAAGGTGATTTATTTTGGGGGCCTCCATTGCTTGCCCCTGCCACTGCTTCTTGGATTGCCCTACAACTCCTGGACAGGTATCCCTGACTTTGCATCTCTGAGATTGGGGACTGGGATATGGGTGTCTTTGCCTTCTGAGAGCCATGGGACTCCGCTTCCTATAGTGCGGCATACAAAGAGGGCCGGCCAGCTTCTCTAATCCCCCGACAAGCAAAGGTCCTGGGTCAGCCCAAAACCCAAGAGGAAGAGGATGGGACCCTGGGGGCTCACATTCGCATAATAAAGAGGGCACACAAATGATCCTTCACCAGAGGAAGAACACCTGTGCCCAGGTTCCTTATATCTCTGCCTAACCCAGAAGTTCTCAACCTGGGGAGCGGGAGGAGAATTCAGGGGTGTCATGAACTTGTTGGGGGAAAACATTACAGGCTATTTTCACTAATCACTAACTGAACGTAGCATTTCCTTCCATTATGCACGTAGACATCACACCACAGTACGATAGATGGTGTGGTTCCTGGGACTTGTCACCAATAGACATCACAGATACTCTCATATCCCACTACAGCTGCTGCAGATAATTCAAAATAACTTCTCAGCTCATCATGAATTCAAAATTATGATAATCATTAAACCTGTCACTGGATCTTGTTATCCAGTACCTAAAGAAACGTATGTATTGCTACATTGGTGACTACATTTCCATATGTCTGTTTTCCTCTCTAATTCGGTGCATTTTACTTGATGCATGTGAAACTATCCTTCTGGGGAAGGTCCACAGGCTTTCTCCTGACTGCAGGAGGATCTACGGCTCGAGATGTATTAAGACTCCCATGGCCTGCTGGGCGCGGTGGCTCACACCTCTAATCCCAACACTTTGGAAGGCCAAGGCAGGTAGATTGCTTGAGCCCAGGAGTTCAAGACCAGCCCAGGCAACATGGCAAGATCCCATCTTTACAAAAAATACAAAAATTAGCCAGGCATGATGGTGTGCACCTACAGTCCCAGCTACTCAGGGGGCTGAAGCAGGGGGATCCCTTGAGCCCAGGAGGTTGAGGCTGCAGTGAGCTGTGATCATGCCACTGTACTCCAGCCTGGGAAACAGGAGTGAGACCTTGTCTTAAAACAAAACAAAACAAAACAAAACAAAAAAACAAAACAAAAGACCTAGTGCCAGAGCTTTCACCATTCTCAGGGAGGCTGCCTGAAGCCCTACCTGAAAAGGATGCTAGGTTTGTGAGTCCAAAGGTCAGCCTGGGAAGGTGCAGGGCTATTGTGGTTCCCAAGAAGAGCCCAGACAAGCACTCTGCCGAAGGAGCCTCAGACGTGAAGGTGCAAGAGCATTTAACACGGAGAGCTCGGGGCCTGCAGGAGTGAGCTGCATGCCCGAGTGTCATTCGGATGCCTCTATTGAAGGGCCCAGTCCTCGATGGGCACCATGGCTGTGACCAGTGTGGACTGAAACCCAGGGTTCTCTGGAAATAGTGCAGCCATCGAGGGATGCCCGGGCTAGGACCCGTGCAAGATCTTGGGAACAGAAGGTATCCAGTGACAATGGAGCTGGAGCATCCTCCAGTAAACCTCGGTGAATTAGGGCAAGTTATGTTCCATTTGAATAAATTAAAGAAATGTGACTTCTATTCCAGGTCAGAGTAGAAGCCATTCCTGTGAACTGAAGTGTCCCTCCCAAAATTCACATGCTGGAGCCCTAACCCCCAATGTAACTGCATTTGGAGACAGGGCTTTTAGAAGGCAACTAAGGTAAAATGAAGTAAGGGTGGGGCCTGATCCCATAGGATGAATGTCCTTAACAGAAGAGACATCGGAGGGCTTGTTTCCTCTCTCTCTCTCTCTGCCTCTTAGGACACAGTGAGGAGGTGGTTGTCAGCAGCCCAGGAAGAGTGGCCTCACCAGACACTGACCCTGCCAGACCTTAATCTGAGACTTCCAGCCTCCAGAACTGTGAGACATAAATTCACGTTGTTTAAGGCACGCAGTCTGCAGTGTTTTATTATAGCAGCTCAGGTAGACTGACAATATATTTGCCATATATGTGTGTTTTTTCAGTGTAAAGTCCCAGGGAAGAAATATCAATAGCTCACAGATCTCTTAACCATCAATTTCATCCCACTTTATTCATGTCATTGAAATAGTCCTGTCTTTGGAGTCATATACCCTTTAATACTCAGAGAATAATGACTTTGCTCCCCACCCTCCATTAATGTGGGAAGTCCCGTTTTCTGTGGGTTCCCCCCTCCAGGCATCTCTGGGTCTCATGCTCTGCTGTAAAGCTCACACTTACTCCCCTTGGTGAAAGCTGTGCCCCGGCTGCAACTTGAAGTAGGTACTGAAGATTTAGGAAGCTGCAGGAAATCCACAGCGAAGAGGCTGGTATCTACTGCCAAAGGGGGCCACGCCCAGAGCCCAGTGCTCATCAACACTTGGCCCATCTTGGGGAGGGAGACGTCTCTCCACCTACCTAATGCTGCCTGGAGATCCCCCACAAACATGTCCTACCCTGAGCCGGTCCTCTAGAGTCCTCCTTAACCACTCCAGGCCCACTGGCCTCAAGGCTTCTCCACTGCCCTCAGGGAAACCCCTCCACGCACTCTCAGAACTGTGCTTTGGCTGGGGGCTCACACAGCGATCACTGGGTCATTGGACATCAGTTTTCCCCAAGTCAGGGTCATTCCGTCTGAAATGCACTAGACACTGACTTGGGGAATCAGCTATTTGGAGAATCTGGGTTTAGCCAGATCTAGTCAACTCTGGCACAACGTTCCTTAATTCCGTGTGGCCTGCACTGGCAAGCTGCTCTGAGACACCACTTGAACGAGGAACACACACGTGTGTATGCACTCCCGTCTGCACGACGCACAGCCCAAAACCACCTGCCGAGAAGAGAGGCTTCTATCTGCACCCCAAGCAGCCTTTGCGTAACTGTGCCGCCCCGGTGGAGATTCAGGTCTCCCTTGCAGGCAGTGTCTTGGTTACACTCGCTCAGGCCTGGGCCTCCGGAATAAAGCTGCCACCTGAAGCCTCAAAGGTGAGCCAGAGCCGCGTCTGGCTTTGAAGTGACAGTGCTTCTGATCCTACCTCACGAGACTTCAAAGCGCAAAGGGCCACATTTCTGTCGTGACTCATGATTGAGGCACCATGTGACCTTTTCTGCAACAGCTTTGCAAGGAGGGTGTTATCTTGCAGGCTCCTGGCCTGGGAGGGAGTGCTCAGGCCTGAAGTGTGGCAGAAGAATGTCTTTTTGTCCTTCCACTTCAAGCTCCGGGAGTCCCTCTTGACCTGCTATCCACACTCCCTCAAATGGCCGCTCATGGCTTTGTGCCCTGGGCTCACCAGAGAAGCCAGCTCTGGGTGAAAAAAAGCCAGCGAGGCCTATGATGGTAGTTTCAGGGGAGTGCTCACCCCAGAAAAGGCACCTTTGGTGTGTCTTTGAGTCCTCTGTCCTCCTCAGTGGTGGAGATTGTCAAGTGGTCCCCGCCAGCCTTTATTTGGCCCTGGAAAGTTGCTGTCCTCAGTACAACTGACCCTTGAGGACAGACGAAGGGTGGTCTGGTGTGGGTGTCCCCACACAGCTCCTCCTCCTTAGGGGATGTCCCCACCCTTACCTCTTGACTGTTCTGCACGCCAGCCTCTCCTCACACCCACACAGTGGCTGGGCCCAATTTCTTTCCGCACTGGTCTATTAACCGAATCCTTTTTAAGCTCTAGGAATCTCTGCAACTGTTACCAGGTCTCAGTCATTTCAAGCACCTTTGCAATCTCCATCCCTTTGTGATCACTTGCTACAAGGGTGTTATCTTACGCTTCCCCCAAGGGTGTTATCTTACGCTTCCAGACGTCTTTAGTATCCTGTGGCAGTTACATAGTATCAGTATCATGACTTTCAGCTTCTGAGGGTCCCCGGAGAGGTAACTCAAGAGGAATATAGTTGACAAATGCACCTTGTGAGCTGACATTCTCTGAGTCAAATCCTCCCTGGGGGCCAAGAGGAGGTGGTCACTACCCCCAAGGGGACATGGCCTACATGGGGGGTGGCTCCTAGATTAGTAGGAGATGGTTAGATGGAGCAAAGATGTCCCCCTTGGCCCTTAGCACCCAGCTCGTGATCAGCTGTGCTCAGGATTGTGGGGACCTGAGGACAGAGTGGCCCAGGCCAGAGCCTAGCAGTTCACAGCTTCCGGGAGCTCTCCACAGGCTAGCAAAATTCATTGCGAAGTGCAGAGAAGAACCTAGGAGAATCCACCGTGGGAAAGTCGGATTCCCACCATAGAAGGTCAGAGAAGGGAGGGAAGGGCCACCGTGGAAGACCTGTAGACACTGGCCCTGTATCTTCAGCCCCTCAGTTGGTCAGCAGGTCTCTTGTACTGGGCCCCCCACCCCCGTGTATGCAGAGGAGCCAGGGCCTGTGGAAGCAGCTGCAGTGTCACAGTGGCAGTGTGACAAGGTGGTGGTGGGACAAGGTGGCAGGGACAGGGTGGGGTCGACTGCAGCCGGGTATGTGGGGTCTGTGCAGCCTGGCTGCTACCACAGAGAACCAAGCACCCATGTGGATGTGGGGGAGTGGCAACTAGACCCCAAAGGATCTGGCCCCTGGTCACCTGGGCAGGCCCAGCTGCGCTCCTGAGCAGGGAGGGCCACTCCCTGCAGCCCCACACTTGGTGGCCAGGTGGCTGCTGAAGAGACCAAGATTGTTGGGTGACCTGGCAGGGGCCATCTGGGGCCTGCTCTTCTCCGGGCCCAGTAAGCTTAGTCCAACACAAGGTCACATGGCATCACATGAATCTATTTATTTAGCAAATCAGATTAATCAAGTCTTTTTTTCCAGTGCTAACCCTCCGCCCCTCCTGTGCCACTGGGCCCCACTGCTGATTATGGGCCAACTTGGGTTGCAGCCGTGTGGGTCCAAACTCTCGGCCTTCCTGCTGAGCAGCCATAGTGGCCTGCAGCATGGACCTGTGCCCGCTCCCACAGACACGGGTCCCCATGGAGAAGAGGCCCTTCTTCCCACAGTGTTTTGGGATGGGTCGGGGTCCTCAGGGCCCACCCATGGGTCCCAGTTGTCACATCACACTGAGACTGCTGATACCCTCGGAGGACCTACCTCTTACAGTCATGCACCTCATGGGTCCTGGCTCCCTCCCAGGTCCCAGTTGTCACATCACACTGAGACTGCTGATACCCTCCGAGGACCTACCTCTTACAGTCATGCACCTCATGGGTCCTGGCCCCCTCCCCGTCCCTCCCTACGTGGTCAGTTCCTCTCAGCAGTCTGGAGCCCTTTCTGTCACCTGGACAGAGTCATGCTGCACGTAGATAAGATTTTATGTTTGAACATCGCTGGGGATGATAGGAGGTCAGGTCCACCCACCCCTGTCTCTTAGGAAGCCCATCTGGCCCTAAGCACATTGGTAGACCCAAGTGCACATGAAGGGCATCACTCAGCTCCACCAGGCAGGCTCCCAACTCCTCATGCAGAGAAAGAAGTGGGAGGAGGGTTGTCCCTAATTCCACCACCCGTGGACTCTGACCCGTGGACTCTGAGTCCCAAATGCCCTGTTGCATGCAAAAGTCTGGCTTCCTTAGAGTATCATGGGTGGTGTCTCGGTCTACGGTAGCCATGGGACAGGGCAGCCTGCAGGCAAGGAGAGGAGTGTGTCTGGGACTTGGGGCAGTCAGGCAGCCTTACCTCTGGGTCTGCAGAGCCTGACTCTGTGGCTGTGGTTCCTAGAGGCCCAGCCCAGGGGGCCTGAGCCTCTGATTCCTCTCGTCTGGTCTGGTCTGGTCACTCCTCCACATCCACTTCCACCCCTTCATTGACGCTCTCTTCCTCACCCTTCCCTCCATCCACCTAGGAGGAGGTGTACAGAGTGCCACCTGAGCACAGCAACAGTGGGGGCTGCTCCTGAGAAGGCAACTCCTGCCTGTCCATGGCTCTTAGGCCAGCCAGGAAAGGCTCTCAGGCAGGAAGCAGCTCGGCCAGGTTCCCCACCTATCCAGCACTCCCTGCAGGCTTCAAGCCTAGGGCCAATGCTCAGCTTCCCCTCCTTTTCCTCCTCCTCTTCCTCCTCCTCCCCACAGGTCCTGGTTTATCCAAATGCCTCTCTTCTTCCCCTCAGGCCGCCACCCCTCCCAAGCCCTTCCGCCCCCACTGAGCCCAGATCCTACAAGTAGACCGCAGTTGCTTTTCCTCCTAAAGACCTTGCTCACATGGAGTCTCATCAGTTACTCCTCACCCCACTTGCTCTGTCATGCAAAACCACCCCACAGTGGATCCTTCTCATCATCTCACTCTCCGGAGCAGCTGAGTCACTGGGAGGCTTCCGCTGTCACTTGCACTCCTCCAGATTCTTCGAGAAGCCATCCAGGAATGACTCAATTGTTTACAGTTTCCTGGGACCTGCAGGGACCCCCCGCCTTGCCTTCTTTCTCAAGGCCACACCCTTGTGCCTGGCTGCCTCATCTTCTCCCTCCCAACTGCCAGGGAGGAACGGTTCCATGGGCAGTGCCAACTGCCCAGCCAGGATGCAGGTGAGTAAGACAGCACCTCCTCCACCCTCCTATGGTGGAACCAAGGCAGGCCTGATTCTTTGCCGTTGTTTTCAAGCAAGCTAGATGGAATGAGCAGCTTCCCAGTCTGTTCAAGATAGAAAGCAGGTCAGGAGTCTCCCCTCTCCCAGGCCATCTCCCACTGCCTCTCCTCGCCTGGGGCCAGTACCAACACTCCCTGCTGTGGACACCCTGATGGTAGTGGGGGAGGGGCTGTGTGCTTCCAGCCCTGGGCCTGTCTTATTCCTTCCCCAGGAGTGTTCTCTCCCCTCCCCTCATGGCTCTTGGATGTCATCAACACCCCCACTCAGTCATTCTGCAGTCTTCTCATGGGCACAGAAAGGGGTGGCTGGCTTCCTTCACCTTTCTGAGGCCCACTGGAAACATGGGGTGATCCATGCATACTTGCCCAGCCCCAACACCACTCTCACTTGCTGTCATCTCAGTGAGGCTTTTGGCAACACAGCTCCAGAAGGGACTGGAAAATGCAAGTCTGCTCCGTCCTGGGACACCCAAACTAAAAAGGAGCTTCATTCATCCCTACCACCCCACCTCTGCCCAAGACACTCTCCCCCATAACTGACTCTCTTGGCTCCCTCCTCTACGTCCTCTCCCTTTCTCTCTCTTTCTTTCCAGAACCTCCCAGTCGAACAGGAAAATGGGGAGAGTTGGAAACAGCCTTGTTCACATGGTCTCATTCTCTTTCTCAATTCTTGTGCTGTATAGTTTTTGGACTTAGAAATCAGTAATTGACCTGGTTTGTGGGTTCTTCAGAGATCCCTGAACACTGGGTGGTATATGTGGAGCTGTCTGGGCACTGGAAAAAAGGTCTTTGGGGTACAATGAGCAAAGCTGGCACTCAGTGGGCATCAAAGGGAAGCACATCAGTAAAGATGGCGTGGATCATCCCTCCACATCGAAACCCTGGAACGCAATATCCGTTACTAGAATTCAGGGCCAGGGCTTCCTTCCCCTGAACAGGATGTCCTGTTAGCCCCGAGAGATCGTGGTGTCCTGCAGGACCAGCTGGACCCTGGAAGGCCGGTGGGCCCTGATGTTCATGCGGAATTCTTTGATGACAAAGTAGTAGCAGAAAACATCCAGGCAGCAGTTGACGTTGGAGAAACACATGGACAATTGCAAGAAGAAGCTGATGCTCTGCTTGGCTCTGCACTCTACGATAAAGCCATTTCTCACCAGGAACTGCAGGAAGAACCCCAGGTGGACTGGGAGGAAGGAGACCACAAAGACAGCCAGGCTGACTGCAATGCTGTAGATGCAGGCTCTCTGCTGCACCCAGTCCTGGGTGTGGTCTCGGCGGCCCAGCAGGATGTGGATGCTCCTGGAGGAGCAGAAGCCCATGATGCCCATGGGAAGGAGGAAGCCAAACACCTCCAGTGGGAAGAAGACCTTGGCACTCCAGGTATCGTCAGACATGTTGTGGAAGCACATGTATTTTTCCACTTTCCCATGGAAACTATAGATAGGGATGCTCCCAGTCCACACCAGGACCCAGATGGTGCAGCAGATCCCAAAGATCTTCCTGGGGGACCGGAGGTGGTTGACCAGGAGTGGGTACCGGATGGCCAAGAACCGGTCCATGCTGATGAAGCAGATGGTGAAGACGCTTCCGTACATGCTGACGAAGTAAAGGCACTCCACCAGGGTGCACAGGGACGGGTAGGGGGACTGTACCTGGGACAGGGACATCTTGAATGGGAGGGAGAGCACCAGCAGCAGGTCAAAGACCGCCAGGTTGATCATGTAGATGGAGGTGGCAGCGTAATCGGGCCACCTGTTCTTCAGGAAGGTGCTGAAGCCATGGATGGCCAGCAGGTTGAGGATCAGGCCCAGGACGAAGGTGGGGATGTGGACTGCGAACTGCAGGGCTTTCATCAGCTCATTGACGCCATCAAACAGGCAGTCACCACTGGTGTTTGGCTGACTCATGTTTCTTCCTACAACACCAACAGATCAGACGGGGCTCCTTTCACTCTCTTGAAGTGATAGATTCAAATGACTTTGTCAAGAATCACAAACACCTCCCCAGCATCATACAGCAATTCGTGCCCACTGAATCACAACTAGAACACAGAAAAGAAAAATTACCTTTAATCCTGCTGCCCAGATGCACATGTTACTTTTTGTGTATATCATTCCAGACTCGCTTTCTCACTCTCTTTCTACCATACACACATTTTTCTTTGGCAAATATAGAACTCTGCTGTGCATGGACATCTATCTTTTAAATCAGAACTCCTTTTGTTGAAAGAAGTAACAGCACATACCCAGACCCAAACAGGCTGAAGCAAAGAGAGAGTTTCACATAATGGAAAATATGGAAACTAGGGTAGGGCTGACTTCAGGAGCAACTGGACCAGGGATTCAAATGCTGTTTCCAGGATTCAGCTCCTCTTATCCCCTTTGTCCTCCCCAGACCCACTTTCCTGATGGTTGGACACAGTTAACCTGCAACCAGGGATGATTGGCACCAGAGCATTGCATTCCTCTGGACACAGTAGTTGGTTAGTTCATTGGCTCAGGGACAGACATTTGACTCTCCAAGAACATGATAAGCAACACAACTTTTGCTTGGGTTTCCAGGCAGAGGGTTGGAGTCCCTTGTCAGGGATTCATATTTGCCAAGATATAAGGTCTGCAGCTGCTGTAGCCTCTTGTTCCCCAAAGGGAAAACCAGACAGAAAATGGAAAGATGTGGGAGAAAGGGCATTCCCAGAGGGAATGGAGTGGGGCCCTGAGGTCTCCACAGGGTGAGGAAAGGCCTTTAGTCAGGCAGAAAATTAGAAGTGGCCTCAGGGACAGGAGGACCAAGGCTATAGGTGTGGTTGCACAGGGGTGTGGTCCAAACCTGGCCAATTTGGGGTGAGGGGGTGAGTGCCATTATGGGGTTCTTTATTAAGGTATGTAGCTCTAGAGCAGGACAAAACCAAGTGTTCAACCCAGGCGTCCAGAACCAGGCTGGTAGAAAGATGACTCAAATATGACCCAACTTCTACCCTCTCCCCACTAGCCCACCTGTGCCCACCTCCCCACACCCTCCTTTCTCACCCACTCTTCCCTCTCCCCACAAGTGAGGCCACGCTGCTGGTGTACTCGACTTGGACTGGCCTTAGATATGGAACGTGCCACATTCACTAGAGCACTGGGGCATGGCATGGAAAGGACATTCATGCCTGGCGTCTTCCTTAACCGCTTCGGCAGCAAGCAGCTGGTGAGCAAGTGTAGCCGGGTCGTGCCGTGAGACCTGCCTTCCTGTGCTTCTCTCACCTTCCATGACTTCCTGACCAGCAGGGGCTAAGATCCCAAGATACTGATGTACCAGGCAGGAGGACATCAGCATGGACTCCCACCAGAGAATCCTGTACTAGTGACCACTGCAGCCATTATTATTATTATTATTTTTTTTGAGATGGAGTCTCCCTCTGTCGCCCAGGCTGGAGTGCAGTGGCACGATCTCGGCTCACTGCAACCTCTGCCTCCTAAGTTCAAGTGATTCTCCTGCCTCAGTCTCCTTCATAGCTGGGATTACAGGCCTGCGCCACCACGCTCCACCATGCCCGGCTAATTTTTTGTATTTTCAGTAGAGATGAGGTTTCACCATGTTGACTAGGCTGGTCTCGAACTCCTGACCTCAGGTGATCCTCCCACCTCGGCCTCCCAAAGTGCTGGGATTACAGGCGGGAGGCCCCGCACCTGTTCCTAAAACTTCTGTTATTAATTAAAGCTTCTGTTATTATTTTTCATAGCTTGTTACTAATTTTTAAAGTATTCCATGCACTCAATAAGATATTCAAACAGAACAAAAGAACATGCATAGGGAAGTCGGCCTCCATTGTACCCTAAGGCCTCAACTGTCCTTTCTGAAGGCAGCATGGCTTACAGCTTCTTGCATACTTCTCCCAGACATTTTCTAAGTAGATGCATATATGCAAATACATGCATGCATACATATACGTGTATGACTTCTTTAAAATTTGGAAATAATATATATACAGCTTCTGTCCCTTGCTTTTTCAGTCAACAATGTTTCTTGGATGTTGGTCTATATCAGCATATATGAATGGCTTGTTTGCCTTCCATTGTGTAGGTATACAAAAACTCATTTAGTCAGTAGCCTATTCATAAACATTTAGGTTTCTAGTGTTTTACCAGGAAACAACGAATTCCACAATAAGCATTCCTGTGACTTATTTCTTTGCTGTGCTGCTATTGCTAACCGAATTTTCATTCTACTATTGGTTTTCATCACTACTGGGGGCCTGTGGGAGGAAAAAATTGGGGTATTTTTTAAGATCTTATCTGTAATACCATTCCCAAGCCCTCTCTGATCCCTAATGAAAAAGAAAACTGATATATATAGATAGATATTTATAGGTACATATATATTATCCACTGAGCACTATGCACAAAACATTTAACATGCATTACTTGATTTGGTGGCTCTAAAGATTCTGTGGTTTCCAATATGTTAACTTTTCTCACAGATTTATGTAAAGAGAGATCTAGGAAAATGTACTTCCTCTTATTCAAAGCCTTGGTGTCCTGTGGTCTGTGGGGATGGTGCCCCCTGGGGGTGTGCAGTAGTCACTGGTCCTACTCTGGATGCTCAGAATCTGCAAGCTGTGGTGGCCACCTCCTCACTAAACATGCTGAAATGGCCACAGGCCTAGCTCACAAAATTACTAGAATAGCTTGGAACTCACAAGGTAAATTTCAAAAATGATGAGAAAAGCAGGTCAAAGCCCAGTTCGGGTCTAAATATGAAATGTTGCAACACCAAAGAGGAAGATGGAATTGGCTTGGAGAAGTTGCCTTCAAGACCAGAAACAGCAGAAAACCAAGAACCGCAAAAATAAGAGTGAATATAAGTTGATGTTTAAAGATACCCAATAAGATTTTGAAAAAGGAACTGAGGACATCTGTCTTTGTCTGGGTCACACTAACCAATTAAGAAAAAGCAGCCACCAATGACAAAAGCTCAACACTCAGAGGCCCTTACTGTCAACTGTTACCAGCCGACTCCATGGGTGAGTCCAGCATATTGCTGGTGGTTCAAAGTGGCCAAGAAAAAAAATCAGTGATGCTCAAAGTTCAACCCAAACCCAGACGCAATGTGTGGTTGAATTGGGGGAACAAATGAATAACAACAGGAGGAAAGTGGTCTGACAGAAAGCACACAACCTTGGATGCTGGGATGAGTCTCCATTGACAGTAGCAGGTATATTCATAGATACAATTTGGCCATCAGTATTCCCCAGTAGGATTATTCTAAAGGTCACATTTGAATTACTGACAGACTTCAAATGGAAGCTTCTCAGAGGGTAGTCTTTGAAGCCAGAGAAGGCACTCTATGGGCTGGCAAGAAGAAATTAGGTTGAAAAAATACTGCTAGCTAATGGCAGAGTGAGAAGAGAATCTGAAAAATTAATCTGAATTCCTTCTGAAAGTCCAAGGAAGCCATCTTTTTGAATCTTTTTCAAAAAAATCAGGAGCTTCACTGAAGTAAGATAAAAAGGCATCAACGCACTCCAAACTGCAGCAAGAGATGAAACAGTCATCCTTCTCAAAGAAGTTTGCTAATAAAAACCAGTCTACTTGTGGGTGGGGGAGGGGAACGGGGCAGGGGAACAGCAACTAGCACCATTTGACCTGTGGTATGGGGCCATTCCATTAGCAGCTCCTGTTCTGGCCAACCCAGGGGTCCACCCCAATCAAGCAATGGTACTATAGTTGGCTGGATGGGAGGCTGAGTCCCTTCAGGTCCCCTGAGAAGCAGATGCTAAGACAGTGTTAGACACCTCAGAGATTGCACAGGGGAAGTGACCGTGAAGGATAGCGGTGAGAGGGAGCAGGAGGAGGTGGGGTGAGCCTTCAGACCACCTACAGGTCTGACTCTGTAGAAGGAGAGAGGGAAGGAAGGACAAGGTGGGAAGGACTTCAGACAGCAGTGTAGATTTCAGCCCTTCTTGGCTAAGCCATGGGGCATCTCTGAGCAAAGGCTGCCTCTTGGAGGAGCCCCACATCTGCAGAAATCGTCCTAGGCTAGTGCCTCTGCCAGGCTCAGACACTGTCTGGGAGCAGCCCAAGGAGAGTGGCATCAGCATCAATGTCACCATGGACCGGAAGCAGCAGAGCTGCACTGACTGTGGTCAGGGACCCTGGGAGTGGGCTCTCTGGAATTCCAGGGAGGTCTCAGCAGCACCCCTGCATAGCTGCCAAGGGGCCATCCCGATGCTGCCATTGATGTTGGGATCTGTGCCACAGGCAGCAGTGGAGACACTCTCAGTTTCCATCCCAGCAGCACCATCTGTGGAGTGCTGCCTTTCTACCATCCACAGCAGGGATGGGTGGGCACCTTCACCTCCTAGAGGACTGGAATGGGGTAGTCCCAGCCTCCTCCAGAAGGAAATAGCATTGAGTGAGCAAAGATCATGGGTCAAGCAAATAGCATCTGTGAATGGAGTGAAAGGACCCCAAACCATTGTGAGTCAGCAGCAGCACGGTGGCTGAGAGGTGGAGCTGAATCGAACCGTGGAGTAAATGAGACAACACAGGAGATGAAGCTCCATGTTTCATGCAAAAGCTATGGAGAGAGCCACTCCCAGGGGCCCTGCTGACACCTCTGAATGTCCCGCTGACATGTTTAAATGTCACCAAGACAGAACCTCCCAAACATCCATGAATAAACAAACCAAGTAATTAACACCAGAAGAGGCTTGAGGGAGAAGATCTGGGTGCAAGAATTTCGTATCCAACAGGTGTTCCTGCATAAAGAATGCAAAAAGCAAGTCTCAGGTGGATGCGGCCTCTAGAAAAATAATCACCCCAAAACTTTAGGCCTCCAAGAGATCATTACTGAGAAGAGTGTAAGGATGAAAACATCAAGATAGAAAAGCTTGGAACTGAGCATTGAACTGAAAGCAGGAAACTGTGGAAAGAGACATAAGGTATGATGAATATAGTTACAGATTTAAAATTAAAAGAAAAAAAACCAGAAGAGATTATCTGGCTGGCCTAGTGACTCACACCTGTAATCCCAGCAATTTGGGAGGCCAAGGTTGAAGGATCACTCGAGCCCAGGAGTTTGAGACCAGCCTGGGCAGCATAGTGAAACCTCATCTCTCCAAAAAAAAAAAAAATTTTTTTTTTTAAATTAGTAGGGTGTGGTGGCTCGTCCCTGTGGTCCCCAACCATTTGGGTGGCTGTGTGGGAGGATTGCTTGAGCCCAGGAATTTGAGGCTGCAGTGAGCCATGATCATGCCACTGCACTCCAGCCTGGGTGACAGAGTCAGACCTTCTCTCTAAGAAAAAAAAAAGAGATGATCTGTGTCCCTAGAAAGAGACAAGTCTTAATATTGTGGATAAATTAACAAAGCAGGAAGAATGTTCTTGTGTTGTAGGGGTGGGGACAATGGAGGGTAATAGTAAGTGCCTGGGGTGAAGCAAAAGGCTCTATTGCTAATATTTCTGTTCTGTTTATTTTTTTACTTCAATAATTACAGGAATATGTGTCAGATTCTTGAGAACCTTAAAG